CGGGAATATGGTTCCATCTTCGCAGTCCTAAAAGGATGAACAAACCACTGCCGAAGCTGTGGCGGGTGACATCAGTAGTATATGATTTGCGGCATGGTAGTTTTCCCGATTGGGTTGAGGGGATGGTTCAAGGTGTAATACATCGCTTTATCTGAAGGTAAAGGCGACGATGATACCAGCACTGTTGTGTGGTAAGCCGTTGAGCTTGGTCTACCAGACTAGATACAAGTAAGCCGTCGAGGGCTGGAGGTGGATCGAGGTCGCGGTGTAATGCTGTTAGTCCGGTGGATATTCTAGGAAGCGCAAAAACGTCTGGATTACGAGCTGCGTGATACTTATACGAAGTAGATAGATATGAGACGCGTTAGGGCTATTCAGCAAATATGAGGTGATCCAGGGTTACATCTGCCAGTTTTGAGTTTGGAATGAATGAACAGAACTTGGGGTATATGATGGAAGCTTACACTATTTCAAGTAGGTGATGCACCCAGATTTCCCAAAGGATGCAATCGCTTATTATAGGCAAGCTGAGAAGCCACTTCATCTTACCTAATGGGGCGGATGGTCACTGATTGCTTAGACGCAAGCCATGAAATATGCATATGATTCGTGTACTGGCTGGGTGCTCCAACCAACTTACTGTCTTCTGATCAACAGACTCACTGCAATTGGGTTCGAAGGAGTGTCTGAGCTGTAGAACGAAGTAATTTGGAAGGTTACATGGTAACTGACACATGTATATTAGTCATAAAGGATATTATGACGCAAAAACTCATATCCTAACGGGACAAACCACAAATGAGGGGCAGCAAATAGTATAGAGGAGCAGTAGCGATGGCACAATGAACGCTAAGCCAAAGCTAACTATCTGAGTCAGCCATAGAATATCGCAAATAACATTTGCAAGCGAGAATTTTCGGGAAATAAAGCAAGCTGTTAACCAAAAATATATATCAGCGATGCTGAAATCGTGCTCATCGTTGAGAGCACCAATTGTGAGGCGTTACTCGAAGAGGTAAGAAGTGTGCCAAGCACGAGAATACGGCAAACCGTTCCTAGCCGCCGACCCAACGTGTATTGCTGATAGCTACAATGGCTGGAGAGCAGGATAACAGTGCGACTCACGGCGGAAGAGTAAGTGAATGAGTAAAACAGATGGCCGATCGCAAGGTAAAGAAAAACTTTAACTTCTAGTGTCGCACAACACTGAATCGTAAATATTTCGAGTCAAGTAGCTGTATTTTGCCCTAAAGAAGCTAGAACACAGCTTTGTGCCTGTTCTACGGGCACGGAGAGAGGCTGTTACATTTATCATTGAATATGGGTAGTAGATGTTGAACTGTATAGATTACGGAACCACAGACGCGTTATGCACAAGATCGAAAATAAGATTAAGCTCATCTAACTTCTCCTCAACCAAAGTGGTTTTAGATTCAGCAACTTACACAGATAGTGGTATGCAAAAGTGCTTATTTTTCCAATCTCTGGAGAAAGGGCCATTTCACTTTTCGGGAGTGATTTTGTTGCACATTCTTAATTTCGTGAATACTACTTGAAGAGCATAGAACTGCACGGTCCCATCCAAACGCAGTCTGAGACATTCTTATTGTCAAAGGCAAGCAAGATCAATGTCTTTAGCGCAAAGAAAGGGTTTTCCATGCCAAAAGGATCGGGAATATCCTTAGATTCAAAACACTTCCCTGTGTGACGACTCTAGTTATTAAATTAGGTTGTGATACCCGGTTCATATTTTTGACGCATTGAATGCACACGGAGAAATACAGATTACAGCCAATTTTTGTAAGGTGTTAACAATCTTCTAAGATGCCAAATTTGTCAGTAGTTCAGCATGCTTTAACCTATCGAATGCTTTTGCCATATCTAGGAAACGAATAAGTACTGACTAATTGAAGTCACCTGATTTGCTTACTTTGTCCGGGAATTCAAGTTGACTTTTGACTCGATAGAGCTTAGAGGAATCCATGACGCCATTTGTTAATCCGATTATTTGAAGTTTTTTGGTTATTCTTCCTATAATTCTAGTCAGTATAGGAGTATGGCTAATGGACGGTACTTTCTCCTTTGGGGATACCTCCTTTGTGTCGGGGTGTAACGGTACCTTACTTCCACTTAGTAGGTTAGATGGCTGCTTTTAGTGACAGGGTGTGTATATTTACTGTTTCCTCCTATTTGAATCTATTAAGTACCTGCTAATATCGCATCACGCTCATAAACAAAGAAACAATAAGCCGAAATCTGTGCACTTCAAAGCTGAAAACCACCCCCAAAAAGTCTATAAAATAACACTTTTGTCAAACATGGCGGAAAACAGTTTGTGCTGCGTGGTTTAGGCAACCGAGAATGGCTTGCAATTACTTGCAGAAAAACATACCCTAAACTGCGCATCGAAAGCAGAGAGAACGGTGATCCGATGACGTTAGGTGAAATTCGAACTATGATAAATAGTACAGTGCGGTTGCACGAGGTAAAACCTTCTGTTCGTGCTGTGTGAAACGGCGTGGATTCCTTAGCCCATGAAGACTGCCTAGCCAGAATGTGTGATTCCCACTTCACTCAATGTATATGATACTAAACGGAATGTACAAGTCTGATAAGGAATCAGACAATCAGAACACAAGCGAGCTGTTAAAATGGGAATTGCGCACCGTTTTACAGTAATAAATAGCCTACAAACAAATGTTTCAATTATTTCGAGTAGGGTTTTGACGGCTTAGTGAGGATCCAGTTCCGGGAGTTGAGCATAAGCTTACGAGGTAAAATAAAATGTTAAAAACTTCTAACTGTTCAGTGAAATAAGCTATAAATACTTTTGGAAAATTGATAGCAACACGAAGTATTTAACTAAGAACTGTTGGTCTTCTGAAATCCATTGCATTTGCATTCAACGCGGCGATCAGCTCGAATACCTTACAGTCAATAGCGCTGCATCCAGCGAAGTTCCCAGAGTAAGACGCCTACTCCTGGATGTTTCCCTAACTAGCTGTGGATATATGAGTAGATCACTGTTTCCTGTATATCTACAAGAATACATGAAAGGTTGCTATTAAATCATTACAGCTGCACAAAAATGCAACAAGATAAACCACGGTCCTCCAGTCTGCCATAAGGGTATATTTAGTTAGTACAGTGAATCAAAATTTTACTACGGAAACCGATTACACAGTTAAAATATCCTGCAGATCCGCCAGTGTTAGAACTTCGAGATCAAAAATATGAACGTATGGGTAGAAAGTGAAACACATTGGTGGGTTCATCATGATATCAGCATAAACACATGCGATTCCACTAACCTCGACTTCATATAATACTTGAACAGCACCACGTTCGCGTACAGTACCTTGATTACAGTGATGGCATTTAACGTACACAGATGCTGCGGTAGAACTTTGTTTGCTAAATATCGATAAAACGCCTATCGTACACGACATACATTAACGTTGCAGCACAGTTCTCTAGGGGAACTTCATAACAAAGACTTTAGCTTGGTCATAGCATGATGCAGGAGAAATGTGCGCTTCAAATTTCATCTAATCATATGCGGTGATCAGTGGAATCGTCTCACATTGAAAATGAGGACTTGTGATCGTGTACTTATTTCGTAGTAGGCTGAAAAGCTGCTTCGATCTGGGCACGATTTTGACATTTAGTTTTTGGGCAGGTCTCCTGCCGACCCATTGAATGAAGGCCCAGATAATGTATAATGGGTAAAACATCAAAAGGTTAAACAAGTTAAGTAGCCCTCAGTGTTTACAAAACCTTCAAGGTGCATCAATGCCTTTCACCGCGCTAAATACATAGATATCATATATAATCATAGCCAGCAACATCGACAAATATGGGAACACAACTTCATAGTACCCATGCAAGAGTGTGGCATTACCAGTGCATATACATGATCTGTACCGAATATGGATGCAACTCTTGATGAGAAGGATATCTGTTATTATCGGATGCTGATATAAACTGATATGCATGATTAGGCAAAACAATAGTGCTATTAGTCGCGCCTCGTTGGGAGTCTCCAGCATAGCGGACCGTAGTTTTACTAAAGCTAGTGAACGCAGATGGAGCATTTCATATAGTGTCTCACGGATGCCTTAGGAATTTGTCGTATGTTGGAGGAAACAAACCGCCTGAACAACTTCTCAATGTGCCCACTGTTGATGTACAGATTTCGATAAGTTCACAGACTGCTGTTAGTAGTCATGGTTATAATATTCACGAGTTCATCGCAGTTGCTTTTAAGCCAGATCTCCTGCTACCCATCCGGAAAACTTGATCGGCAAGCTTTTATACGCTAGTTGTGTAGTTGTATAGTACATTGACCACATTGCATATATCCACGTAAAATTGGAACAAGTTTCTTTTTGGCCATTCATAAGAGTCTTCAGTGTCCCGTTGCTGCACATCCTGGTCATTCTGGCTACCAGTCCTTCTCGATGTCTTACCACAATACTCATGTCCGCTAAGGAGCACGAGGGTTAGGTCCACTCCAGGCCTAAATCCTATCAGTACCGCATTCGACCTGAACCAAAGCGTAGTTAAGCAGTGAAACCATCAAAACTGGCATCATTTGTAAGGATCGTGGTCTTGACGAACTGGTAGAACGCATCAAAACTTCGCACTGGATAATAACTCCGATGGGGACTAGAGTATCAAACACTTCTCTTGCCAGAGTTTGCAGGAGAAACTTGGTCAAGTGACTAAACCGTACCTCTGTACTTGTAACGAATTTTAGTGAAGGTCGCTAGAACTTAAGTAGGAGTTCAATGCCCTTCTCCATAACAAGCTATTACGCAAGAGAGTTGAAACCGAGCTAGTTCAGTATTCGTATCAGAGTGCACCAAATCTTTGTGACACACTAATCTGATGAAGAAAATAATTAAACCGCTTATTTCAATGGTAAGTCTCCCCACCACTATGAACTACCGGGTTATTGAAATCCCCTCCTTCACTATATTTTGCATCTTTTTTAACAGGAGGTTCAAGACTGTGTGGTCAGTGTCGCGGTATACCACTGAAGGAGTTGGCGCAGTGCATAGACGGGAAGTGTACCTGCGTACCTGGATACGTGGAAGCTCATCCTGGGGTGTGTATGGAATGTGTTCAGTCAAACTGCCATCCAGAAGCCCTCTGCCTTCAAACGCCTATGTACAATAACACCTTTTCCTGTCAGTGCAAAAGTGGATATGTTGGTGACGGAGTGAACGCATGCCAGCCGCTAAGGGCAAGTGAACCGGAACAACCCAGCATTGATTCAACTTGTGGTGGCGGTTGCTCGATTAGAAATTCTGATTGTAATCGGCGTACCGGCAGGTGTGAATGTCGTCCAGGCTATGACTGGGATGGAAGATCTCAATGTGTGTGGAACTGTCGACTCTGTATCGCCGATGCAATTTGTGATCACCAGAATGAACGTTGTGCTTGCAAACCCGGTTACTATGGAGACGGTCAAACATACTGTGAACTACTTCCAACCCGTCCTGGTGAGTCCCCAGTGTAGGCGGTTCCATTTTTCATTCTAAGGTATCCAGTTATCATATTTCGGTAACTGATCACTTTATTGCATCGTTTGAATCTTCTACTATTACTACAGTCATAGCTATCCAAGGCGATCACTCAAGGGACCGACAAAAGGTGGTCTCCTTGGGCAGTTGGTCGCCATAGGCTGGTTCATGCATGGGTAACACTACTCATGCTCGAGTCCACATATGTGATAAACCTTCAAACCGCAAACTACATCCTTGTGCACGTTAATTGAAACAAACTACGATTGTGTCTCTTTTTCTATGAATATCATGTTTTTATACATGAAAGCTGCCGTTTTGCATTTATTTTTTTATTTCATTTTGGGAATAGATATTTCATCATTGTTTGTGAATCAGAAGATGTAATAACTGCGCATGTCTAGTCGTTACATCACCCAAGATTGCATCATACTTTTATGGTTAGTAAGGTTTTTGTTTCAACTTCTTGTATTTTGTGATTCAGTCATTGTTTGAGATGGACGTGACTCCCAGAAGGCGCATAAAGATCGTGACCTTGCACGAACACACAGACAAGACCTACATGGACATAGCAAGAATAGTAGGCGTCAGTCCGGCAACTGTCAGCCGTGTGGTCAAAAAGAAAAAGGAAACGGGATGCATTTCGCCAAAATGCAAAGGGAAATGTGGTCCTAAGAGGAAAACCACTGCCAGGGATGACGCTAACCTAATACGGGAAAGTGTTAAAGATCCTCGAAAGACTAGTGACGCATTAAAACTTGATTTGGGGGAGAAAGGAATAGAAATCAGTTCTTCAAAGGTTCGCAGGCAACTCCTGGAAGTTGGTCGGAAAGCCAGACGGCCTGTGCAAAAACAACTTCTGACAAAAATAATGAAAGTTAAGCGTTACAAATGGGGACCAAAATACAAAAACTGGACAAAAGAAAATTGGAGAAAAGTCCTATTCAGCGATGAAAGCCATTTCTATGTTCATGGTCAGAGAAGTCAGTATGTTCGGAGGTCAGATGGAGAAAAGGTTCGTGATTCCCACATTGACCACTTTGTGAAACACCCACAAAAGCAGATGTTTTGGGGGTGCTTTAGTTATTACGGCGTCGGCGCCTTGCATCCAGTCCAGGGCATGATGCGCTCTCCACAATATATACAAGTTCTCCAAAGAAGAACTGTTCCAGAACTAAAAAAGACATTTCATGACGAATCTGGCGTATTTCAACATCTTGGGTCCCTGTACCAAACTTGAATTAAAGTTTGAATAAGTTTCTCCTTTGTCGTACAGTCCATGCCACGAAGGCGTTGCTTGCAAATTGACCACATATTTTCAATGGGGTTTAAATCTGGTGAATTCCCAAGCCAGTCCAAGATAGTTATTTGATTAGTATTGAAAAAAGTCTTGACCATTTTTAATGTGTGGCATGGGGCCAGATCCCGTTGAAGAACTTATTTCTGTTCCTTTAATGCGTCACTAGTCTTTCGAGGATCTTTAACACTTTCCCGTATTAGGTTAGCGTCATCCCTGGCAGTGGTTTTCCTCTTAGGACCACATTTCCCTTTGCATTTTGGCGAAGTGCATCCCGTTTCCTTTTTCTTTTTGACCACACGGCTGACAGTTGCCGGACTGACGCCTACTATTCTTGCTATGTCCATGTAGGTCTTGTCTGTGTGTTCGTGCAAGGTCACGATCTTTATGCGCCTTCTGGGAGTCACGTCCATCTCAAACAATGACTGAATCACAAAATACAAGAAGTTGAAACAAAAACCTTACTAACCATAAAAGTATGATGCAATCTTGGGTGATGTAACGACTAGACATGCGCAGTTATTACATCTTCTGATTCACAAACAATGATGAAATATCTATTCCCAAAATGAAATAAAAAAATAAATGCAAAACGGCAGCTTTCATGTATAAAAACATGATATTCATAGAAAAAGAGACACAATCGTAGTTTGTTTCAATTAATGTGCACAAGGGTGCAGATCTGTAAGCCGACGGCTTTTACAGCCAGTTTTAGCCGCTAATTAAAGTAACAGCAGTAGTAGCGTACAATGTGGGATATATGAGTAGTAAGAAGGCAATAAGTTTATAGCTTATGAGCCAACATTTTAAAAGCTGACCTGCAAATCATCGAAATCCACAAGCTTTGACAAAATCATGCATACATTTCTATTGTCATGATCATTTTCCACCAGATGAAAAAATTACGTATATTGTTCTGTTGCTTGGCAGTTGAATTGAAAGATGAATTTAGTCTTTCCCTCACTTTCATGATAAGTTGAGTCATGTCAGTTTGTCCGCTATGTATTGCTCAGGAGCGCAAAATATCAACAGCACCCTGTGCGTCAGTGAATGGAAACGTTTTCTGAACCTCTGGAGAATCCTGTTCCTGCTCATCGTCTGATTCACTATTAGCCTCAGCCGTTAAAATTGATGTGGCAAGCAGGTCACCGTTTATTTCTATTGTGTTACAGGTTTGGAGATAAGAATAAACCATACGACTGTCAGCCAGTTGGCATCCAACCAATTCCTTTGAAAGTATCCAAAGCAATAGAGGTTGAAGGATGTACAATTTTCTTGTATGTCTCAGGTGTAGTTTGCATTGCTCTCTCAGAGTCTATTTCTATAGGACAATGAAACCCCACATTACAAAAACACCTAGAGTTTTTGAGTTCTCCACATCCTTCCATGCGGCAGCTATCCAGTACACGAGGTCCAATAAAATTACTCGTTTCAAGCATTCAATTCCGGACATATCTTTGTGGAATTCCATGATTGTGACAAGATGTAGCAGCTGTTTTTTCCTAGACTTCAATTTAAGCGCCAGAATGATATCTTGGTCGAGGGCTTGAACTAACACAGTGGGGTTGGGTGGCAGGAACTGTAATTTGACATTAAGTAACTGGAATTTGTGATAGCAAGTGGTATTGTTAGCAAACAATATGATGCTGCGCATTTTTCTGCATTTTTCTGTCGACCTTTTGAAGCCAATCTTCGAAAATAGCCGCAGTCAGCCATGACTTTGTATTATTCTCGTAAACTACCGTGGATGTCAAAAAAATTTCGAGGGTTGGCTGATTTTCCAATCACTGAAGTCGGTTCTCGCTCCCCCAACATGTTAATGCACAACAAAACTGTGAAACGCTGCTTGCTTCTTTTCCGGCCAACACATTTCACTCCTTCAACAAAAATTTTTACCTGACGTCGCTTTGAATAATAAACCGGTTTCATCTAAATCAAATATGTCTGGAGCTGTGTAGCCAGAACATATTTCGGATAATTTTGTTGTCCAGACGGATGCAGCCCACATATCTGAGTCACCGTTTTCGTCCGATTGCTTACCAAACACATGGTTGTGTCTACTGATGAAAGCCTGCAGTCAACCTTTTGAGGCTTTAAAATCTGCGTTTTGCAATCCTTTTGCTAATGCATTACTCGTTCTTGAATCATGCGTCCGGATAATGGGATTTTTCTCTCCAGTGCTGACTGGCACCATTTCCAGCAAAGTGCGTTTGTGTCTTCGTTACCCGTTTTTCTACTCTTTCTTTTCAGTCTTGGTGCGTTGTTTCCAGAGTCGTTCAAAAACGGCTTTCCTCTTTAAGGTTAAAAGGATTTGTGCCTCTTCTACTCCGAAATTTTCCGCTAATGTTCGCGAACATTTTCCTTCCTGACTTTGTCGAATCACTGCCATTATTTCTTCAAGTGGCTTTGCTGATTTGAAAATAGCCATTTTGTCCTTCGTAAGGATCTTCAAAAAGAACTATAAAAACGAACATGGATATGCAGTAAGGAGATGCCTCAAAAGTACCCGCTCAGTGCTGACAACCAACTGGTTACTCAATAAACAATTACATACAAAAATGATAGTCACGTTACTTGCGACCGTACAACAGTATCACAAAATCCAGAGTGCACGAGGGGAGTCCAACGGCTCTTTTGTTGGGTAACATCACTCTATCCGATTGGTTCATTGCACAGCCCATAGCAGGATACACGCGTTACATAGGGTGATATCCAGGGGGGGGGGTAATGTGTCACCGGACAGGTTCTGTGTGAAGGCAGTGTGACCCCTGGGGGGAGAATAAACCAGTGGTATTGGGGGAGTTACGCAAGGTGAACTGGTCACTTGCGACAGTGGGGGTATTAACAAGCCTATGATGAATCTAATAAGGAGACGTGGAATGCGTGAAACTGGACGATAATGAATCAGTGTAGGGCATATGCTGTGGTTTCTGGGGCAATTATGACACCTTGAAACGAAATCTAAGCTGTCTTTGTGATGCCGTGGCAGATTTTCATGATACCTCTACTCGCAATCTCGGCCAATCGTGCTAGTGGTGGTCACCTTGAGCAGGTGTTAGAACGCCTGGGGACCACAAAAGTGTGGTCGCAGTCGCGTTAGACAAGTGGACGCCGTAGACAGGTTAAGACGAATGAGGAAACATAGGAAAATGGTTGGCGATATTTTTGACTGGTCCCTATGGGCAGGTGGTCGCCATAGACCGGTGGTCGCGATGGCAGTTTGGACTGCAGTACTAAAGCTATGAATGGCCCTAGCAAAAATCTGAAATATGTAAAAGATTCCGTGCCTGGAGGTTGTGTCGTAGAAACGCTTTCAATTTTAGCATCATACCTGATGGGACATAATTCGACGCATCAGGTGATATTTGTGGAGCTTGCAGCGTTTATTTTGCTGGATCAATGGTTAATGAATCGTCAAACACGCCACCCCACACATCGAGGAAAGCCCATGGACAGTGGAAATTACTACTTCTAAAGTCACTAGTCAAGTATGTCGTTTATGCACCTCCACTTACGGAGGGCCTGATGGAATCCTTCCCCGTTTAGTAAAAAGCTGTTATAGCGACTTGCCCATGCTCTTGTTCCACATATTTACACTCGCTTTTAATAGCGGGGTATAACTTACTCAGTGGATGACTTCGGTTGTTTTTCGCGACACAAATATGGAGTTTCTGACAGTGGTACAAGCCTTCACCTCAT